AGGAAAACAAAACATTAAGAGAGAGATCTCCCAAAAGGGAACTATAGAAAGGATCATAAATGGTCAGTAAACTTCAAAAGACAAAACAAGCACCATAATCGTTATACTGTTGGAAGAACATGTGTTTCACTAATGAATTCTACCAAGGAGCTTAGTATCTTAGAGGCCTATTATTGGAAAAACTACGAGTTCCAAGGCCAACGATGCTTTACAGGACAAAATGTCGTGCCCCTTCAAGTTTGTATATATTGTTTCCAAGGGCCTTAGACAGTTACACTGTAATTACCTCAGTAGCATCTCAACTTCCCAAATGCCATCATCATTTTGCTTTTCTAAGATCTCACGACAATGCCAGGATTTCCATTAATGAAGGATCACTTACCTTGCAAACTGGCTCATTTTGAGAGCAAACATTAAAAATTTTATAATTTATTTACATGCTTCATTATTGTCTTTAAAAACATTTTTGAGGCTACCTGGATCACCTTAAGTTGATGCAACTTTCAAGCCTAAAATGCCTTGATACTTTAAATGCTAGGCAAGAATTAGGCTTTTGTATTGTGTCATGGTCAAAGGTGCACTTTTGTGTGTGTGTGTGTGTGTTTTCTTTCATGTCAACTGATGATTCTCATGCCTTTTGTGTCAAATTTAATTTTTTTCTCTTTTAGTCGTGAATTTGAATTATCTAACCATATGTTTAGATTAAATTACACCCTAACACCACACATTTATATTTATTATCTGAACTGTTAGAATAGGAAATGTTAGAATAGGAAATTATATTCATATATATTTTTATTTTTTTATTTTTCCCTTGATTGATGTAATGACCTGGCTCATAATTTATGTCTTATGGCATATCTGTAATTAGTTATTATTATCAATATAAAAGGGTATGAGGTCTCACTCATTCCCTATCCTTTTCTCTTCTTTAAACCTTCATGGTATCAGAGCCACCACAAACCTAACCACCGCCAAACCCAATACACCGACAGCCACCACCAAGCTTCCCATTTTGATAGGTGTTCCACCTCTACCTAGCCCAATCGGCTCTTGCCGCAGGGCTTCTTGGCCCCGTTACATTCTGCTAAAGGCTGTCGGGTGCTGCCCTAGCTCCATTGATCCCTGAAGCAGGCTGCCCAGCCTAGTTGCAACATCATGGGTCGCCAATAGGGCCTTCTAGCGTTGTTGTTGAGTCATGCTGACTAATCAGCCTGGCCGACTGCCCCAGGGTCCTTTGCCAGCCTTAGACGACTCCAACTGCTCCTGTTCTTACCTTTCTTCTTCGCTTGATTACATGTTTTAATCAGGTTCATTCACCTGTCCCATTTACGTTCTCTTCTTTATATATATATATAGAATAAATGAGTGCTTAATTTTTTTTTCCCACTATTTTTTCGTGGTCATAGTGCTTCCTATTCCTCCTTTATCTTCCGGGTTTGTGATTGACATTTAGTTTTAGGGTTCCTTAGTAGAATATCCATGGTAGATTTTACTAGTGTGTCCACTACTTCTCAAACACCTAAGAGTGAGAGTTCCATTATACCTCCTACTATGACTGATAACCTCAACCCTGGTCTCAAAATCACCACCACTCTATTTAATGGTTAGAACTATCTAGCGTGGTTGCAGAGTTTGACTATCTTTTTGAAGAGCAGAGGGAAGATGGGGTATGTTGATGGCAGGATACAGGCACCCACCACCACGGACTCGAGTTATGACTAGTGGGAGATCACCAACTCCCTCATTATGGGTTAGGTATGAAGCTTCTCTATATTGGTTTCCAAGGCAACAGTTCAAAGAGGAGTTGTGATTTTAGGATGAACTCTCATCCTCCAATTTACCTTTTTGGAATGTCAATTGTGAGGTTGTAAGAGCATTAGGAATAGATGATCAAAATAAAATCATAATTCAAGGATGCAAGCACATAATGGCACAATGAGCACTTCTTTGATTGTCATTTACATTTATTGTAATTTTTTATGTAAGCAATAGTAGAACCATAAATATAACACTAGATTAAGGGATCATATATTCAAATTGTACCTATTTGATCTTTTTCTAGATCGTCTTCCAATCCAAACTAGAGGTTAGTATGGTAGATATTTTTTTCTTTTCCCGTAACTTGGCATGTCACGCTTTGCTGATACATTATGACATTTCCATATCATTGTCAATATGCATGTGTATCTAGGCTTCAAGCATGGTAAGATCTACTTATTGAGCGTTCTTGTTCGTGCTACTATTGTTAGACAATTAGTGTCTATAGAAACTTCTCGCTAATTTTTTGTTTTCGGAATCTTTCTTTGTGTCACTTTGTTTAGGTTGGTGCAATAAACGTTTAGTAAAAAATAATTCATACTGACAAAATGATGCATTCATGTTATTAAGGACATGTGTGAAGGAGTGGTGACCACTAATAGATCGCCTGCTGGAGAGACAAATAAATTGCCTATCACTGTAGGGTTACACCAAGGATCTACCTTAAGTCTTTATCTTTTTGCTTTAGTTATGGATGCGTTGACGATAAATATTCAAGATGACGTGCCATAGTGTATGCCTTTTTGCAAATGATATCGTGTTAGTGGATAAAACTAGAGAAGGAATTAACACAAAGTTGGAGATTTAGAGAAAAGCACTTGAATCTAAAGGATTTCGGATAAGCAGAACTAAGATGGTACATGGAATGTAAATTTAGTAACAATAACAATGAAAGCAGAGGAGAAGTAAAGATTGAGAACCAAGAACTGCCTAAGAGTGAACATTTTCATTATTTAGGGTCGATTATCACGACGATGGGGGAGATTGATGCAGATGTGGCTCATAGGATAAAGGCGGGATGACTTAAGTGGAGAAGTGCGTCTAGGGTACTGTGCGATAAACGAATACCCACTAGATTAAAAGGAAAGTTCTATAGAACGGCTATTAGACCAGCAATGTTGTAAGGGACGAAGTGTTGGGCAACCAAGAAACATGTAGATAAGATGAGTGTTGCTGAGATGAGGATGCTGCTAAGGTAGATGTGTAGCAAGACTAGACAAGACAGAATTAAGAATGAGTGTATTCGGGAATGGGTAGGAGTAGCACCGATAGAAGATAAGTTGAGAGAGAATCGATTGAGATGGTTTGGTCATATTCAACAAAGGCAATAGTGAAGAGATGCAATGCAACGATGGTAGATGAAAGTGTTAGGGGACTGGGTAGGCCTAAATTAACGTTGTCTAGCGTTGTAAATAGAGATATGGATCTACTTAATTTGACTAATGAAATGGCTTTTGATAGAGCCGCGTGGAGAAGGAGTCATGTAACCGACCCTATTTGATGGGACTTAAGGCTTGGCTTGGCTTGGCTTGGTTTGACAAAAGGATGCATGATTTAATGATTGATGCATTAATTTTATTAAAACTATATGGTCAAATGGATGAGCCACTGTTTTGTAAGGAACTAGTGAATGCAACTGTTGGTGCTGTCATGACTAAATGTTAGAAATCTTTCTTGAGGTTTACTGAAGTTACATCTTCATGAAACTTTTGATATGGTTTTAAAATCTCTGTAAGTTAAGAAGGAAAAATACTTCTAAATTGGCTTGTCTGGTGTCAAACATGTGTCAGACTCTAACACTCATTGGACACTCATCCCGACCTGTCTTATTATTTTTTAGATTCACGAACGTTATGGACGTTTGGGGACACACGTCTACTGCTTAGACATGTACAAAACAAATTACAAGTTTGAACAAAATAACTTGAGATCCAATACTAAAAGAAAAATGATATACATTTATACCTATTATTCCTTAATCTTTATTCTTATTTTGTTATGTTGCATTTTGTATCATCTTTGAATGAAATATTGATCTATATATATATACACGACATATTGACATATAACAAAAGTATATAGAACTATGGATTTTGTGCGTGTATCTATTTTATTTTTATTTATTTATTTTTTTGGGAGAATGACCATGTCATGTCTGCATGTCTGTCTCATGTGTCTGTATTCATGCATGTTAGTCTACAAGCTCTCCTCATTGCACATGACATGGAGGTGGTGCCATTGATGGCATGGGTAGTGATGGATAATCATCTATGTGGAAGTGAAGGTGGATGTGGCTATTGAACAGATGGTATTGTAGTGTTGCAGTGGTTGTGGATGTGGTAGCAGTACCTCTGCTAGAGTTGCAGCAGTACTACTTGGGTGGCTGGATACAATACGCAGTCAAGGTGTTCTTGATGTCCTTACATAGTGGTAGTGGAGCAAGCAATGAATTTCAGGCTGTTATTCTGGAGGCAGTAACAATGTTGATATGTTTTAATTCATTGATGGTTGCTGTGGAAGCCTCTACTACTACTAGTTGCAGAGATAGATGCCATTGGAGCAGTCACTTACTTTTAGACAGAAGTGGTAACGAACTGTTGCATATTGAGAGAGCCTTTAATGCAGAATACAGAAGCCTTGTAGGTATAGACCATATATGTAGTTCTGGTAGTTTAAGAAATGAAAGGCTCATGGAAAGGGAAGCATGTGTGAGGAAGTGGCAGTTCACCTGGATTGGTATGTGGAAAGCGAAGGAAGAGGTATAGTCAGTGCCAGTGGATCATCTCTTCGCTTATTGCCTTGTAGGTGGGAACATTTGAGCTCTCTGGTTATATTTCTTTTTGGGGTTTATTGGGTTTCTCTAGGGCAGTAGGATCTGTCCAATAGTTGGAGAGGAGGATGTTTTGCACTACGCAGAAAAGGAAGGCTTGTAATGGTGCTCCTCTTTGTTTGATATTTTGTGCATGGATAGAAGGCAATAGGCGATCTTCGAAGGGAGGATTTATTGTGTTTAGAAAGCTAGTTCATTTTCTGGGAGAGGGGGGAACTACTGCTTCATTGTGTTTTTTTTTTATTTTTTATGATCATCCCTACTTTGTTCGTTTTCAGCAATTTTTTCTCTCTTTGGTCGTTGGTTACGTTTGATTGAAATTGCATTCCTTTAAACTGAAATATTGCAGGGAGATGATCCAGCACAGGCCCTACACACAGAAAGTAGATGTTTATAGCTTTGGCATAGTTCTGTGGGAACTCATCACGGGGATGCTTCCCTTCCAAAACATGACAGCTGTGCAGGCGGCATTTGCAGTGGTGAACAAGGGTGTTCGTCCAAACATCCCCAACGATTGCTTGCCTGTTCTCAGTGAGATCATGACCCGATGCTGGGATGCTAATCCTGATGTCAGGCCTCCCTTTCCCCAGGTTGTCATGATGCTCGAGAATGCTGAGATGGAAATAATAACCACTGTCCGCAAGGCCCGTTTCAGGTGCTGCATGACCCAACCTATGACTATGGATTGATATGCTGAAGCTGAAACTGCGGGGGAATCTGCAGAAGTGGTAATGTAATGACAGCCCCCGAACCCCCCCCCCCCCCCCCCCCCAAAAAAAAAAAAAAAAAAAAAAAAAACTGGAAAAAAGGAATGAAAAAGGTGATTTTGTCAGCCTCTGTATCTATCAGGGTTAATTTCTTTTCTTCTGAAAGAGAAGGGGGAAGTTATGATAAGAACCTGCTTGTTTTGCTTCCAATTTTTTTTTAAATTTATTATATATATAAATTTTATGGATTAATGGAGCTGAACTAGTAATAGAGCAGAGTTGATGTGTATTTTATACATGCCTTTTGATGCTATGTTAAAATCTGCCCTGTTTAGTTGTTATTCTTCTTCTGTTTATTCTTGTGTTTACCATCTGGGAAATTCTATTTCATAAATTGTCTCAATAGACACTATTAAAATATTAAATTTATATTATAATAATATCTTAAAATAAAAGGACTATGAAGGACATGATAGTGTGTATTATATCAATTCAAAGAATTTACATGAAAACAAAAAACACTCTTTGCACACCAATTGTAAACATAATAGAGATATAGACCCAGAGAGAGTAGCGAGAGCTTCCCTTTAGGAGATTTTTGGCGGTGTTCCGGCGATTCTTTTTATACTTTTAAAGTGTAGATTTATACTCTTAGGCTATATTTGTTGGAGCGGATTTGATTACGCTGGATTAACATTCCCATGACTAATAATTTTAGGACTACGAATCTCTTTAGATTGTGCATCATATCTTGTATTTGAATTGAGTTAGGATTATAAGGAGAGATTAATAAAATATTATTCAATCCGATGTTTGTTTAAGAGGATTTGAATGGATAGGACATGATATGACAGGATATGGGACATTCAATATATTGATCATAATACCTCTATTATGATTATTTGATAAGTTAGTCCAGACTTTGACTAAGTCTCTCAATTTATATCCCATTCTTTATGTGAGATTGAATAGTCCATCATATGTGGGATACCATATTTGGATGGATTGTTAGTCCGTGCTTTAATTTTTTAACCAAACATCAGATTATTGGACTAGTAGTCTAATCCCAAGCACATGTCTGCCCAAACAAACATGACCCTAGATTATAGATATACACTTTTAAAGTGTAAATATGAGTTTTTATGATTGAAATAGAGATTTTAGTCTTTCGATTTTGACATAGATTTAAAAATTTTTAACACTCACAATGGTTTTCTCTTCTCTCAAGTCTATTTATATACCATTGTGAGTGTTCTTCATTTTCAACTCTAACTTTTGGCGGTATTCGAAGTACGGCGGTGGCGGAGTTGGGCATCAGTGACGAGGATGACGTTGACAATGGCGTCGGGTTTTGAAGCAGATCTTGCTTGATTTGATGCAAATCTAACTTTTCAAACATCTACTAGATGATCGGTGATTTTTCTTAGATCGCTTTTTTTGTTTGTTTGTTTGTTTGTTTTGTTTTGTTTTTTTATGGTTTTGTGATTTTTTTTTGTTGTTCTAGTTTTGTTGTTTGGTTGGCCTTTTAGGGTTTGGTTATGGTTATTTTTCTTCTGTTATCTATATGTTTGGTTTCTTAATATAAATGTTTTTCATGTTCTTAAGAAAAAAAAAACAATTATAGACGTAAAAGGTGATTTTTTTTTTTTATCATCTTTTAACACACCATCTTCTCTATCATAATCTGACGCACCACTAATTATATCATTCATTATCAATTAGTTCACCTCATTTTCTTTCTCACTATACTTCTTTTCCTAACCCAAAAAATTATTTTCTTTGAAGTTTTAAGGTTTAAGAAATAATTTGAAGTTTTAAGGTTTAAGAATATTAAAATCAATAATGAAAATATTAGTTTATTACTTACAATGACTTTTTATTTTTATTTTTTTATTTTTGTCATTTGTATAGCTACCATGAAGATAATTTTGCTACGCGTTTAGATAATTAAAGTTGAAAATTTACACAATGTTAAAATAATTTCATGCAAATAAAACTATTTTGTTCAAATTATTATGGTTAACCAATTATTAAATGTTCATTTATAAAAAAATTAAACATTTTGGTGCCATTTGGTAACTCTTACGTTTTTAGTTTTCTGTTTATATTTACAAAAATTTTAAAAACTCAAATAAAAACTTGTTTGGTAAAATTTTTAATTTATAAATCAGTGGTATCAGTTTATAAATTTGGTCAAAAAATGAAAACAAAAAAAATGTGTTTCCATTTTGAATTTTCATTTCTTTTTTTACCACCCAACATTAGCCACCACCCGCCACCATTTTCCACCACCGTCTTTCGCCACCACCACCCGCCACCACCTGGCACCACCACTCACCCCACTCACTCGCTCTCCCATCTACCCCCATCCCCCCCCCACTCACCCCCCATCACCACCCGCCACCTGCCTGCCACCACCACCCACTCGCCACCACCCGCCACACACCTGTCACCACCACCCGCTACCACCACCACCACCCACTCGCTACCACCCGCCACCGTCATCCACCCACCACCACCACCACCACCACCACCACCGTCACCCACCCACCACCACCACCCGCCGCCACCACCTACCACCACCTGCCATTCCGCCACCCACCTGCCACCATTGCCCATCACCCGCCACCACCACCACCCACCCGCTACCACCCACCACTACCCGCTACCCACCACTACCTCTACCCACCACCCACCGTCACCACTTTCCACTGCCATCTTCCGCCGCCACTTGCCATTTCTCATTCTTTTTTATATTTTTAAATTTTGTTAAACATTTTGTCAATTACCAAACGTGTTTGTAGTTTATGTTTTCCTAAAAATAAACAAAAACCAGTTTATAAAATTTTTGTAAATATAAACTGAAAACGTAAACGTTACCAAACACACCCTTTGGGTTTGTTCAAATAAAAAAAATTAAATAAATAAACTGTTATGTTTGGATTTTAAAGACGAGTGGAACTATTGGGGCCATAAGGACTTTTGTTGAAAAAAAATTTAGTCAAAAAGACATTACCATTTATTTTGAAATTTTTATTTTCAACCTATTTGCTCAAATTTTTTTATCTGTTCAAATTTGTATCTATCTACTGAAATTCATCAAGCCTATTTCTCCTTATCTGTTGAAATTCAACAAGCTTATTTTACCTATCTATTTGAAATTTTACACCTATATATTCAAATTTGTATCTATTTTTTATCTATCTATCAAAGCTATCTGTTCAAATATATATATTTTTAATCTGTTCAAATGCAATCTATTTCTTTATTTTCTTAAAAAAAAAAAAAAAATTGCAATCTGAGCAAAGGACAATCCCTCTCTGTTGAAATTGAATCTCTCTCTCCACAAACCCATTTATGGGTTTTTTTTTTTTACTTGGGTAGGTAAAACAAAAATTAACCCATTTATGGGTCTCTCCCTCTTTATTGCCAACACTACTTTTTTTCTTTTTTGGGGGGAGGGGGGGCGGGGGTAGATAAGTTCTCTTGGTACCAAAACTTTCATTCAATTCTCTCTCTAGAAGCATCCAAAACACAACATATATATACATATATGTAGAGAGAAAGAGAGAGAGAGAGAGAGGGAGAGAGAGATTCATAGAGTGACAGAGAGGGAGAGATGAAAGATAGGATGGTTGATTTTCTATCCCGCTGGGCTAAAGATGACATGTTGTCCATGCTTACACCTTCTTGGCAGAGCACTTTGAAAGACGCTTTTCACTGGATTGGAAGTTGGAGACCTACCATGGCTTTTCACTTACTCTATTTCAAACCTAGGATCCAACTTAAGGCCAGACTCGACAAGTTAATTTGTGGACTCAATAAGGGAGATTTGAGAGATCTCTCATCGAGTCAACTCAACTGAGTCAACGAGATATAGAGGAGGACGATAAGGAAAGAGAAGGAAATCACAGAGGAGATGACCAAACACTAGGAGATTCTGGCAGACTCGTGCATGGTGGAACTTTTGCACACCATGAGCAAGATATTGAAGGGTGGCAGCGGCGGCGGAGGAGAGAAGAAGGAGCGAGTTGAATCCACTCTGGCGCCGAAAAGGGAAGGCATGGAAGGTGTGCTATAGAAGGCTAATGATCTACGACTAAGGATGCTTAACACTTAAGGTTTCTTGAGTGGGGGAAAAAAAGGATTGGTAAAACCTTAACCACCATGCTCACGGTGGTGAGTAGACTCCGCATCAAGATCACCCGCATTGAGAGACACATCCCAGGTTTTGTTGTTCTGTCCATGATCTGTTTGTCCATGGATTGCAAAGAATAATAATAATAATAATAATAAGAGTGTCATGACCAAAACCCGTCCCTAAGAGTTTGGGTCATAACTGGCCAGTAATCCGTAGATTACCGAAGGCCTCAAACAAGCATACAAAATATTTATGCTAATAGGGCCATAAACAAAAGCATATAATAAAGAGAAGTCCATTGAGTTGTGCCAATCATGAGCAAAATTATAGAGTTAACCATGTAACACATTAATATATTTATATGCCCAACAAAAATGCAAGTGCCATAGGAAATTTGTACATATTGTTTACAAACTTAAGACTATAAAAGCAAAAACAAATAAGGTCAAGGTGCGATGTAAGTCAAGACAAAATTCCGTCTCGAAGGCACGACTCGATTGGGTCACAAAAATAGTTCTTGAAGCTGACTCTAGGGGTGTGCTCCATGTTATTGATCACCTACATGTGCATACATAGTATTGGGTGAACGAAACTCAATGAGTAATAATACAATAAAGAAGTGTAAGTAGATGATCATAAGGTTCTCACAATATCCATAATTATATAAACCAAGTGGCCTTAGGCCCAAGCATATAACAAGTGGCCTCGGACCCAATCATATATCAAGCGGCCTCAGGCCCAATCATATAACAAGCGGCCTCCGGTCCAATAATATGGCAAGTGGCCTCGGGCCCAACCATATAGCACATGTCATATAATATTAATGAAGTTTCTTCATTTCTAATCAATTCGTAATGTTGGCATCATTCTTCATTCATGGTTCAAGGTACGCAATAAAGAGCATAAATGTACAATATTACTACTCACGTTGTGTTTGATTTCGCGGCGTCTCCTCTACCACACGACATTAACTCAAATCTAAGGTTTGCCCCCTGTTTCTCTTCAAAATCCCTAGCTTTCTCTCTTCCTCTCTCTCTAACTCACTCTCTAGAGCTCTCAAGCCACAATGAAGAACAAAATAGGCTAAACATATACAACTCAACTCATAAATCTTAATTTATTCATTACGAAACGTAATTTTTCAAAATTTCACCGTAAACTCTATTAATCATGCTAATTACAAATATGAAGTCGGTTTTT